GGTGCTGCGGGACCCCCCGGGCACGTGGAACAAACCGGTGCTGGGCGCGTGCCCGGGCTCCTGGGAAACACGTCCCACCCGCAGGCACCAGGGTCACGCGTGGCCGTGCCCGTCCCTCTTTGTACTCAAAGAGAAAATGTGTCTTAGAGACTGACAGGTGGGGAAGAGCAGTGGGTACCTGAGGGAACTTGCACAGGGAATAGCACTAAAAGGAGAGTATTGATCTGTCCCATTGCAGTCTGCAGGGGGAAGCGCTGGGCGGGCTCACTGCACACTGACCCCGTTCCCTGAGCCCTGATTCTGCAGGAGGTGCAGCCCTGGGGCACTGAAGCTATCCTGGTGCTACTTTCCATTTCAGCTGAAATTACTGAGGGAGGAAGCAAACAGCCAGGACCAGCTGCACAGAGATTGGCCCTTTGATTTGCTGCTGATTACTTGCTCTGCTTATCTATCACAGCTGTGGGTTTGGGTTTTGTTTCCACCCTCCCTCCCCCCATGTTTTTTGCAGAGGTTGGTTCATGAAGGCAGAAGCTGCTCTCCAGCTCTGTGTGGTAATGAGTTCCTGGCCAGGGAGCCAGGCACTGTGAAAACGAGATCTGTGAAGGGGAGGAAGTGCTTCAAAGTCAGATGCAACAGGTTCAGGGCTGTTGTTTCCTTAACTATGATGCTGCAAACAAGCCACAAAGGCCACAGTTCAAAGGGCTCTGAAAGATTTCAATTTACCAGGGGGATAAGTAGCATTTTTACTGCTTGGTAGGCGAGGGCAAAGGACACAAAGAGTCAAATGAATGGTTCTTAAACTGACAGGGACACTCAGGGAGAGGTAGCTGGCATCAGATTGGATTGGAGGGTTGGAGCTGGCATTGCTTGAGTCCTGGGCCAGGATTAAGCAGTGGTCCTGGCAGGGAGCTGAGCAGCCAGCAGGGCTCAGCTGGGGTGAGTAAGCAATGCCAGAGTCCTTCGGTTACTCTGGCCACTGCCCTGTGCCTCTTTTGTCCCTGTGCTGTTCTCTGGTGAGCAGGGAACACGGTTGGTGCAGCCCTGTGGCTGGGAGCAGTGTCCCTGCTTCCCTAGGGAGGTCTGCAGCCTGGCAGGGGGTTCAGAGGAGTTGCACACATAGATACCTGGTTACCTGGACTTCACCAGGCTACATTTGCAGAGCTTCACCTGCCTGGGAGTGCTCTGAGCAGTGTCTTTCTGGCAGCAACAGTCTGAGTACTGTGTTCCTGATGGTTTCTAACATGGTGACAGAGAAGGTGTTTTCCTGGGTCCAGTTAAACAGTGTGACTGAACCAGTAGTTGGGTCACTGAAAGGGGCTCTGTCCCCTCTTCCTCCCTCTACACTCATATGTGTGGCCCCCTTGCTCCAATGCTTTTCTGCCCCCTCCGTGGAGGGAACAGCCAGGTTGCTTTTGGATAGAAGGGTAAAGTGACAAAAGAAGTGACTTGTTTTCTGCAGGGGCAGGAAGATGAACCAGCTCTGCAAGGAGCATTTGCACTACAGAGCTGTCCCGAGAGGTGAGGCAGAAGGATGGGAATGGCAGGGAGAAGGTCTTCACATCCCTGTTGGCAGAAGGGAGCTGTGGAGTTCCTCACTATTGTCCCTGGAGTGGTGACAGGAGCAGAGCAGCAGCTCAGGCAGCCTGTACCCAGCATCAGTAGCTGAGGCTTGGCTGCTGCTTCTCAGGGTTGGGAGGAGGGTGCTGGGGGCTTGGGTCCCACCTCTGTGAGGTCCCTGCAGATCCTAGAGAGGGAGGTGTGTGCTGTTGTAATGAGGTTGTCTCATCTTGCAAAATCCCAATCCAGAGGTGATGTGACTTGCAAATCAGGGAGTGGGTGTCATTTGCAAGGGCAGGGTGCTGTGGGGATGTGAAATGTGACTTGTGTGAAGGGATAAAAGGAGCCTTCCCTCCCCCACCTCCCATCAGCTTGCCTTTCCTCCCTCAGTCCCCCTCCACACTAATTGTCTGCTCTGTTACAGCTCTTGATTTCAGCCTGTCATTTTGCCTGTAAATTACTGGGTTTGAGTACCAGTTCAGATCAGATGTGAATTTCAAGGCCAGTCCCTGTTCTGAAGTGATCTCATAGACTTTTGTTTTTTCTTTTCCTAGAGTACGGGAGCCTCTTCCAGCTTAGTTTGATCTATTATCACAGAGATTAAATGATACCAAGACAATGTCCTTTTATCTCAGGGTGAGAGTCTGTGTCTGCTCTTCAGAAACAGCTTTTCCAGAGCAGCTGGGTACAGACCACACATGCCTGCTGATGTGCAAGTCAGCACTGCTTCCCTTGCCTCTGTAGTCGTGTCTGGGGGATGAAGAACAGCTTTTTGCTAATGGGGCTCATGTCACCAGGGGTGATTTAGCCAGGAAGGCTGCAGTGCCTTAGTTGCTAGGATTCAGACTCGCTCAGCTTTGTAGCCATCATTTGTTGGTTCATAAATCAAACTGCAGATGCTGTGTCCCATCAGTGCTGGCACACTGGGGGTCCTAAAGGGGTCCTTCCCATAGAGTTGTCTCAGAAATCTTTAAATTGCTGCCTCAGGAGTGAGAGTGTGCTGGTTGTAGCCCCAACTCTTACAGCGAGGCTGCTCTTGTATGGAGGCTGTTGTGGCTCTGGTGAGGTATGAAGGCTCCTGTGACCTGTGCAGAGAGCTCACCTGAGCCTGGTGGGCTGGCATCCTGCATCCTTTTTTTCCGAGTGGGGAGCAAGTCCCTCAAGGGTTTTGTGGGCAACGAAATGCTGTCCAGGTAGGTGATCTTGGTGAGCATTGCAGGGAAACAGATGCTGACAGGATCTGTGCTCCTTGTTCCTGGGAAGGAGAGAGACAGCAGGGACTGACTGGTGTGGCCAGGACAGGGGTGTGTGCGTCTGTGCTGGTCCCTGTGTATCTGCATTGAAAGGTTATTTAGAAATGAGAAAGGTAACTAAACAGGTAACTCTCCATTCTCCTGGAGAGCCAAGAGACAGCTGGGCTCTTTTCTCCTCCCCAGAAATTAATTGTCTGCCCCTACGTGGTCCGGGAGTGTTTTGTGTCAGTCCTGCAGAGGCTCAGCCCCAGCCTGCTCTCTGTGCCAGTGGCACCCGTGGAGGATCCAGCAGAGAGTTTTCCCGGTGTGGGGCAGAGGCCTCAGCATGTTGTGGGGTAGGTTGTGTCTGAACCATAAGAGTTGTGTGGAAGGAGCCCACGGTGAAGAGAATTCAGAGCTAAGGCTAAAACATGTCAGGTGATGTCCAGCTGTGTGTGTGTCCTGTTCACTAATGACCCAGAGGGCAGTTCCAGCAGCTCAGCCCTGCTTGTGTGGCTGCATTAACTGTTCCCCTGCGGGGGAGCCAGGCCAGGAAGTGTTTTCTGTGCTGAAGATGCTGCAGCAACCGGGGACATTTCAAGTGTGACACTGGTAAAAACACTGGTTAGTCCCACAGCAGGGACAGTCCTGCTGGATCCCTTGCCTCACCTGCATGGAGTCCAGTTTTCTATCTCGTCATCTCTGGAGCTTGATGGGAGCTTTCTAATGAAGGTCAGAAGTTCAGCTATAAATATATATATATATATAAAATGTAGCTTTTCAGTGGCTCAGGGAGCCTTGCTCATTTCTGTTCTCAGTGGAGGGGCAGCACCAGCAGGATGTGCGAAGGGCCATCCCGGATTTCTGGGCCCATTCCTCCAGACCCTGTGCTCTTTCCAAACTACTACAAACGCCCCTTCTCAGGTGAGTCCTTGATGTTGGTTACAAATGTGAGGTTTTGTACTTTGGCATGACACAGTTTGCCCATTTTATGTCCTTATTCTTTGGCATCTTTGACAGTTGCCATGCACACTGGTGGTCCTGGAATTGGTCAGTAAAGCTGGTTGAAAGATGGGAAAACATAAGGTTGAGGTGGAGAGAGGGTCTTCAGCATTGTTTGTAGGTTGTGGGTGAAGAAAACTATGAGCTGAGATTGTTACCTGATAAATGTCATTCTCTTTCTTTCTCTGTAGCTCAAGGGAGGCTGGAAGGGAATGCTCAGAAGCTGGATTTTACCTCTACCCCCATGGGCCCAGTTCCCAACCCATCCTCTGCTTTGGGCAGTGCCCGCCAGGTCCAGCCAGCCCCTCGCATTCGCCCCAGTGGCAAGGATTTCCTGGAGAAGGGACAGAAGGGAACACTCGGCCTCTTGTTGCAGCTTGAAGGGATCTCCCTTGGTGGGGGGCTGCCAGCCAGGAGTGAGTACAGCAGAGTCACTGCTGCCCTGAGTTGTGTTTGAGGCCGGGAATGGAGCATCAGAGGTTTGGGTGGGTTGCTCAGCTCTGTTGCCTGAGGAGAGCTTGAGTTTCCCAGGACTGGTCACCCATCTCCTGTGTTTGGCCTGGCAGTGGTGTCCCTGTGCAGGAGCTGGTGCTGCTGCTGACACCCTGCCTTCTCTGGGCCAGGTCTGGAATGGAAGGGGGACTGTAAAATGTGTTTAATTTGGACTTGGAGAACTTTCCTCCCCCTCTATTCTGCATTGGTGAGGCCGCATCTGGAGTATTGTGTCCAGTTCTGGGCCCCTCAGTTCCAGAAGGACAGGGAACTGCCCGAAAGAGTCCAGCGCAGAGCTACAAAAATTATTAAGGGAGTGGAATCAACAAGGGGAAGTGCAGAGTTTTACATTTGGGGAAGAACAACACCATGTCCCAGTACAGGTTGGGGGCTGAACTGCTGGAGAGTAGTGTAGGTGAAAGAGACCTGGGGGTCCTGGTAGACAGGAGGATGACCATGAGCCAGCAATGTGCCCTTGTGGCCAAGAAGGCCAATGGCATCCTGGGGTGTATTAGAAAGGGTGTGGTTAGTAGGTCAAGAGAGGTTCTCCTCCCCCTCTATTCTGCATTGGTGAGGCCACATCTGGAGTATTGTGTCCAGTTCTGGGCCCCTCAGTTCAAAAAGGACAGGGAACTGCTCGAGAGAGTCCAGCGCAGAGCTACGAAGATGATTAAGGGAGTGGAACATCTCCCTTATGAGGAAAGGCTGAGGGAGCTGGGTCTCTTTAGCTTGGAGAAAAGGAGACTGAGGGGTGACCTCATCAATGTTTACAAATATGTAAGGGGTGAGTGTCAGGGGGACGGAGTTAGGCTTTTCTCAGTGATGACCAGTGATAGGACAAGGGGTAATGGGTGTAAATTGGAGCATAGGAGGTTCAAGGTGAATATCTGGAAAAATTTTTTTACTGTGAGAGTGACAGAGCCCTGGGACAGGCTGCCCAGGGAGGTTGTGGAGACTCCTTCACTGGAGACATTCAAAACCCACCTGGATGTGTTCCTGTGTGATGTGCTCTAGGTGACCCTGCTCTGGCAGGGGGGGTTGGACTAGATGATCTTTGAGGTCCCTTCCAGCCCCTAAGATTCTATGATTCTATGATTCTATGATAAGAGACTACTGAGAGATGCTGGAAATAAGTGTAGTTTGCTGCCTCTGAATATAACCAGTATCTTTACAGTCAAACATAAAGATGGATCAAGTGAAATCCTAGCGTATGGAGAATGTTCAACCTGGGAATTCCTTGTTGGTGAAGCCAGGCAGAATTTGGGAAGACTGTTTATGTGGATACTGAGGACATCTTTGTAAAAGATGTTCCCTTCTCCAGGCAGGTACATTCAGAAGTCCAGGAAGTAGATAAGGGTGAGCACTGACTGTCACTTGATTTACATCTTGTGCTGGCATTGCCTCTTGCCCTGCCTGGTGCCAGCATGGTGCTGCCACAGCTGCTGTGCCAAAGGAGGGGAGTGGAAGAGGGGCTGCTTATGTCAGCTGAGATCTTCTCTGGCTTAAGGAGCCCAAGGAAGAATCATGTTGCATTTGAAAACAACAAATACAATCTCTAGTCTTGATTATGTCCTCTCAAATGTGACAATGGCTGACCTGGAGCCTGGCTGACCACCAGGAACAGCATAGGTTGAAGGCTCTGCAGCTGCCATCAACCAGCCCTCCCTTTGCTGCAGAAACACCACGGAATGCAATGGAACCTGGGAATTGACCTTGCTCCTGAGGGATGCTGGCATGGCTCAGAGCAAGGGGGTCTGTGAGTACCAGGCCTGTGCTGGTGCTCTCCTGGGCACTGTGGGATCCCTGGGTTGGTCCAGGAATGCAATCAGGGACAAGTGCACAGACTGTCCAGTCTTCAGGATAGAGGAGAGCTTGTGATTTCTATGGGTGGTTGGACCAGCTTTGGAGATGGAGCTGTGGGCTCTGGTGCCAGTGCTCCTTCATCCCTTGGCAGTGTCTGAGGGGTCAGGGCTGTGTCTCCCCTTTGTTGTGCAGTGAAAGAGTTCAAGGACCACGAGAAGGAAAATGTGAGGCGAATAAAGGAGATTCAGAAGAAGTGCAAAGAGAAGGAGCGAGCCCAGGAGCACAGCCAGCCCAGGCCTGTGAAAGCTCTGTGGAAATCCCAGAAATATGAAAATGTGGAGTCAAAGGTGAAGGCCAAACTGCAGGTCAGTGCTCATTAAGATCTGGAACTGCCCTGGCCCAGAATGTGGGTCAGCTGTGAGGTTCTGTGGGATGGTGATTGCTGCCCTGTGCTGGGCACTGGTGAGGCCACACCTTGAATCCTGGGGTCAGTTCTGGGCCTCTCATGACAAGAAGGACATGGAGGGGCTGGAGCGTGTCCAGAGAAAGGCAACTGAGCTGGGGAAGGGGCTGGAGCACAAGTCTGAGCAGGAGCAACTGAGGGAGCTGGGGGTTTCCAGCCTGGAGACAAGGAGGCTGAAGAGAGACCTTCTGGCTCTGCAGCTGCCTGGGTGGAGGTTGGAGCCACAGGGGGTCTCTGCTCCCGAGGAACAACTGATAGGACAAGAGGAAGTGGCCTCAAGTTGCCCAGGGGAGGTTTAGATTGGATATTGGGAACAATTTATTCCCCAAAGGGCTGTCAGGCCCTGGCCCAGGCTGCCCAGGGCAGGGGTGGAGTCCCCATCCCTGGAGGTGTTAAGAAAATGTCTGGATGTAGCACTCCAGGCCATGGTTTAGTGGGCATGGTGGGGTTGGGTTTATGGTTGGACTACATCTTTGAGGTCTCTTTCAACCTTGATGACTCTGTGATTCTGTGGTGGAGATGGAGATGTCCCAGAACCTAGGGGTCTGGGGGCACTGGGTGCTGAAGCACAGTGGGCACGTGGAGCTGTGTGCTGGGTGGGAATGGTCAGCTGGGGTCTGGAGAGCCATTGCTATAACAGTCTCCATCCTGCCTGACCAAGTAGTGTCCCCATGCTGGGGAAGCTGAGAAGAGGAAAATCTTATCACACCTTCTGCCTGGGGGCTCTCACTTGGCCCTTCAGTTGTTGAGGGATCTACATGCAGTTCCTGGGGGGTGCTTAGCAGGTCCAGCAGCTGGATTCCCTGTCCAGAGGTGCATCCAGCTGGCATTTCATCTTCCCAGAGTGTGGAGCCACACGGGGGCTTGTGCCAAAGGTCTGTGGTGTTCTGCCCCACAGATCGTGGTCCTCACAGGTAGGTCTTCAGGCTGCATCAGACTTCAGTGCAACTCTTACCACCCTGTGGCCCCACAGCAGGCTGTGTATCTCCTGAGTCATCTCCAAGCCATTGTCCTGGTGAATAACCACTGCACAGAGGGGGCACACAGACATCTCCAGGCAGTCAGGGTGGAGGCCTCATAGCTCCAGGACAACCCTCAGGGATGTACATACCTCCTGTCCTCTGCACATCTGCTTGTGGGAGGAGTACAGGGCCCAGCCTTGTATCCTCAGGCTTTCTCCACTGCTGAAATCTTCATGGCTTCTGTTCCAAGCAGGTGTCTGGCTTTGTGAAGGTTTTGGGTTGCTTTTGACTTCTTTATTTTCCTTTCTATGGGTAATTTTTTTATCCCCTCTCTGTCAGAGATTCTCGTCAAATGCACCAAAGCAGCTGCCCTAGTGCACATGTTGATGCAGAAAGTAAAGTTAAGTCCCATGGGAAGAAGGAAGGAGAGCTCCATCACTCTCTGGGTGGCTCCATTGTCATCACTCTGGATCTGGTGGAGCCCTGTCATCCAGGTGACCTCTGTGTTTGGTTGGCCTCTTCCTTCGTCCAGAAGTAGGGTCTGTAACTCCCGTGGATGAGGTGGGATCCCACCACGTGGTGGGTTGTGCACACCCTCAGCAGGGTGGTGTCCTGGAGGAGAGGCCTTGGGGCTCTCTTCCAGCTCAGCCTCACGTGGGAGAAGGTCCCTGAGGACAGGGAGGTGTGGGGCTGCACAGCTGGATCCTGCATCTGCATTCCCATCAGGCTTGTTGGCTGCTAGGAGAGGGCTTTGTCCTCCTGTGAATCCCTGATAACTTTCACAGTCTCTGTGTCCTGTCCTTGGAGCCAAGCAGGCTGTGTGGACAGGAGTGACATAGGGAGCTGCTGCTTGTGCAGGTGTGAGCTGGTGACACCTCCAGCACTGCCACTTGCACAAGTCTGGTCCTCCCTTCCTGAGCTGGAGCCTTCAAGTTCCTCCTCACTTTTGCGTCACTTCCCTCTGGTCCGTGGCCCTCAGAGCAACTGTTGACACTAAAATTAGCTGTGTGTACATAACAAATGGAGAAGTTGGTGAGATGATTTCCAAGCCAGTGGTTCCAAATGCTGTGTCCCTTCTTCCTGCTGTGCCACCAACCTCTCTGATGTCCATGACCCTTCCACACAGGGAGCAAAACCACATGTGCTTTAAGAGCACAGGCCTATGCTCCTGTCTGACAAATCCTCTGGGTTAGAGGAGGATGGAGATAATTTCTTCTTTTGTTTTGGGGAAGGAGGGTCATCTCTGCAGGCAGTTCCTGCCTTACATGTGCTCTGCAGATTCCTCCAGGAGAGGTGGTGGGAGGCCCTGGTGCTGACTCATGTTGCTTTAGGTGTTGCTGTAGCTCTCCTGGAGCTTCTGTGGAGCTGCTTCTGCTCAGATGTTAAGGTGATTTTGTTAGGTGTTGATGTATAACACGGAGTTTCTTTTCTCTCACCTGTCCCCAAGGCTGCTGGTCCTTGATCCAGGCTGTCCAAGGAGGTGGTTGGGCCACCATCCCTGGAGACATCTAAAAAGACAGATGTGGTGCCAAGGGACAGGGTTTAGTGATGGATGTGGCAAAGTTAGGGTAGTGGTTGGACTCAATGATCCTGAAGGTCTTTTCCAACCAGAGTGATACTGTGATACCGTGATTCTGTGAAGAGGGCTCTGAGGGTCCCAGTGCTCCTGCT